CCCATAAATGCTGGAAATGCAGAGTGAAAGGTCGAGAGTGGCCATGAATTTTATGCTGTGGGTTCAGCAGGAGATGAGTACTCACCAGGCCTGCAGAGACCCAAGACCCACTGTCTTGTTTGACTTATTAGACTTTAGGCCTTGGGGAAGTGGCTCAATATCTAAGAGCATCAGGGTTCCTGGCTCCAAAATGAGGTTCATATGGACACTGCTGAACTGCTCATATTAAGCATGGTAAGACACTTAATGAGCACTTACTTTCCACTAGGCCCTGCCTACTACGTGCTCTGTGGGCAATGTCGCAGCCCCAGACTCTGGGAGGTGGGCATATTCTTCTCCATTTCACAGATGGGGGCACTCAAAGTTCTATCTAACTTAAGGACTTAAATAAGATAATATATAAAACACAAGCAGTGTCTAGCACATAGTGAGGATTCAAAAGAAAAATGAGGATTCCCAACCATATTAAAGAGAATTATAATGTTTTAAAATACATCAAATGATAATGCTTCAAAGGCATGTTCAAATAATGACATGTGCAGAAAAAAAAAGAACTCTGAAAGTATGAACATCCAGGAATGCAAAGGAGTGACCGTTGAAGAAGGGGATTTTTGCTCTTGTACCTTAGAGTTGGTTGTTTTTAATAAGTACTACTTGTGTAACTGAAAACATACCAGAGAGATCAGAAACATTAAAAAATATACTTAGAAAAAATAACCCAGGTGGAATATACCAAAATGTTGATGACAACTGCCTGATAGATTTTTTCCTGTTTTCATACATGTATTAATTTTTATTAATTCTTAACACAATACCTCTTCCTTGTAAAGTTAAACATCACAGATAAAGCTTTTTGAAATCTTCACCTCCAAATTCTTCTATTCCTCTCTCCCCAGAGGTAATCAGTGTTACAAATTTGGTGCATACTCTTCTGTGTATATGCATATATGTGTATACAATGTGTATATTCATATACACACATATACATATATATATACACATTATAAATATCATATTGTTTTTAAACAAATGATATCACAGTTTGTAAATCCCTCTGCAAATCATCCATCAAGGTGTCTCAAAGATCATCCCATGTCAGCAAATAATATGGAAGTATTTCATTGTTTTAGATTAACTAGTAACCCAGAATATAAATATACCAGAGCTTATTTAGCTACTCTCCTGTTGACATCACTTAGGTTGTTTACAGTGTTTTTCTATTAAAAATAATACTATAGTGAATTCCCTTATAAATGCCACCTCCTACAGACATGAGACAGTTTCTTTGGGACAGATTCTAAGAAGTGGAACTGCGGGGTCAATAGTATTTGCATATTTGTTATTTTAGTAGTTACCACACCAAATTGCTTGCCTAAGTGACTGTACATGAGTTTATATTCCCATTGGCAGTATAGGCACACATCACTGCCAGTACTTACTACCAAACCCTTGACTTTTTGCGAACCTGACGAACTAAAATGGTACCCTGTTGTTTTAATTTGAATTTCCTTAAAAAACAATGTGCATCTTTTCACATGTTCATAAGCCATATGTATTTCCTTTTATGAAATTTATAAAATGTGTCCATTTTCCTGTTGCATATTTGTTCTTTTCACATTGACTTGTATGAGTATTCATATATTCTGTAAACTAATCCTTTGTCCACTTTCTAAATAGTTTCTACCAGTCCTTACTTGTCTTTCAACATTTGTGATTTTTTGGGGGGGAAATCTAGTTTTTCATACAGCTACATCAAACTTAACAAACTACAGCATTTGCATTTTGTGTTTTAAGAAGGCCTTCTCTACCCAAAGGTCATACTTACACTCCATATTTTTTCTAATAAGTTATTCATCTTATTTTTCATGTTTAATTATTTAATCCATCTGAAATGTTGTGAATGGTAGAAAGTAGTGCCCTCAATCATTTTTGCAATGCCTAGCCATGTTCTAACTATCCTTTTTTCCACCAGTAAGGAATACTACCTTTATTATATACTAAGTTTCCATATATATTAGTCAGTTTCTGTACTCTATTTCATTGATATTTTTTTGTCTATTCCTGAATCACTACCAAGCTGTTATAATTACTAAAGCTTCAATTACAAGTTCAAAAATAGCTTCAAAACTTACTTTTACATCTGGTAGGCAACCCTCCCTCATTTTTGTTTTTCCAGATTGATCTTCATTATCCTTGTACATTTGCTTTGCCAAAGAATCTTAAAATCAGTTTGTCAAATTCAATATAAATCTTTTGGGATTTTGACTGAGGCTGTACTACATTACAGATTAGGTATAAATCTACATGTTTACTATACCAAAGTTTCCATATATGAATATATATATATATATATAATCTTTCCTAGGGCTTTTACATCCTCCAGTCACATTATAGGTTTTGTCCATATTTCATTTTAGGTTCATTGTCAAACACTACTGAAGTCTCTTATTAGTTCTCGTAACTTGTCAGTTGATTTTCTTATAATCATATTGTCTGCAAATGAATGTTTTGTCTCCTTCTTTGTAGTATCTGTGATTATTATTACTTTTCTAATGTACTGACTACAGTAACACCTGCAGAACAATTCTGAGTAATACTAGTAATAGTGGTCAACCTTGCTTTGTTCATATCTAATGAGTTTGCTTAAAACACTTCTCCACTAAGTAGGTTTTCTGTTGGGGGGTGGGGGGCCTTCATCAAGTTAAGGGCATTCTGTTCTAGTCTTAGTTTTTATTCGTGCATGGGGTTGCATATCATCAAATAATTTTTTGGCATCTATAGTTTTGAACCAATCTTTTGTTCCTGGTAAAAGCCCTTGTTTGTCATAATTTCTATTTTTTATTTTTACATCTGCATTTATAAGTTATAAAAAAGCCTCAATGTAACTTCCTAATAAGAAAAATAAATACACACCAAGACAAAGGATTATGTATATGTTTTTGCATTATTTGTGAAAATATATACAGGTAGAGATATGAGTAAAAAAGAAAAACATGTGAAAACTGAATGTTTGGCAAAATGAACAAATGGAATATGCTTTAACCTGTTTTACTTACTAAATTCCCTATTTGAGTTAATGCTGACACTATCAACCCAGTTACACATTACAGCAAGAATCACTGAAGTCTCTCTCCATGCCTATACTTACGTTCTTCTATCCCTTCCACACCCAGCCATTCACCAAGTCCCAAAGATTCTACTGGTCACTCTACCTCATACATCTAGTGGGAGACCACAGGATGGATTGGCCAAGGTCAGGATTTTAAGGCAGATCAGGCTCCAATCCAGTGGACATTCCTGTGTTGCCTTGGGTAAATTACTTTACCTCTCTGAGCCCTGATTCCTCATCTATAAATAGATATGATACTATCACAACTGAAGAGCTGTGGTAAGAATTAAGTGAGATACTATATGTAAAGTTCCTAGCACAATGACGGCCATCTCCTGCATGACCAAATGGTTATCTCCAGAATGTCTCCTCTCCTCTCCTCGCCTGTTGGGCCCTCATCAGGCCTTCCAGCCTTCACCTGTCTATGAGAATCATCTTCTAGTCCTTCTACCATCTGAACACTGCCACTAAAACTTAGGCTCTAAAATACAAATCTAGTCACTTGATCTATCTGTTTAAACCCTTCCATGGCTCCCAATTACCCACTAGATAAAGTTACAACTCCTTAGCATGCCTTATAAGGCCCAGCTCAACCTACTTTCTGGCCTTACCTTCCTACACTCTATTTCAAGTGCTTTACACTCCAGCACCCTGACATTTGTCCTTTCTATCGCAAACCACAAGCTCTTTCACAATTATTTGCCTTTTTGTATGCTGTTCCCTCTTCCTAAAAGCCTTCCCCTATTTCTACCAAGCAAAAATTCCTATTCAATCTTTTCAGACAAAGCTCAACTGTACTTCTTTTAAAATAAAAATCCCACAGAAAATTAACTACCCCATCATCAATGTTTCCATAATTTTCAGTGCTATTATATTTACATCACTTGCTTATATATCTTTCCCCACTCACTGAGGCAAAAACTGTCTTATTTTCTATTAATACCCCCAGAAGCCTAAGTCATCTGTCCATTCAGCACTTTAATGGATGACACAATGAATAAAAAAAAGTAAAATTTGTTTTAAGTAAAGCTCTATTAAATCTTTCAACAAAGCATCTTCTGATTATGTTAACCAGACTTTCAAAGTTGATTTTTAAAAAAGAAGAGGTTTTCTTAAGTTAACCTCTCCCTAAATGACACCAGTTTTCCTGACTATAAATTTTAAAGGTTCATGGAGTAATTCTAAAGCCAACTAGACTTTGTAGGAGTTCTGATTAGATACGTGCTGGCTGAGAGGCCCCTTTGAAACCACTACACCTCAGCCATTATCAGGAACAGAAATATTATATTATTGTGAAAGAATATATCTTCCATGACTTAGACTTGTTCTCAATGAACAATTTTCTTCCAAAAGAGCAAAACTCCTGCTGCCTTCTCTCTCCAAATAAATGAGTTTGGTTCTATTATAGCTTGCTCATGAAACAAGCTCAGAAAAAAATATTTCAGCAATGTTGTTTGTGTAGGCTGAAATACGAAAAGAAGAAAAGAAGAAACGCTCTTACATCAGAAAACCTCCCTCAAATGCATAATATACAATTTCATGTATGCTGGTGTGCATCACCGTGAGTGAAAAGATGGCACTGATAAGAGACTCTTACAATCTCTGCTAGACAAGGATGGTAACAGTGGCTAAAATTAGAAACTATGGGAAAAATACAAAATAAGCAGAATGATTTCAGTCTTATCATCTTTTTAAAGAACTTACTATACAAGTCATCAAAATAACCCCTAATTTCAGGAAAACGAATTATGACTAAGGAATCAATATTCCATGCTGATTTTTAAATAACTATCTCCTTCACTACCCAAAAAATCAAATGGTTTTCTCATAAATACATTATTTTACTACAAGACAGAAGGAGAAAATAAAATCTGCAGAGAGAGAAAACACCTCAGATTTCAGCTCCAATAGCAGAGCCGGGTATTCACTTTTTACATTTATTTGCCAATTTCAAAACTCACTAGTGGAATAAAGAGCTTAATGCAGGTATACAAAAAGGAAGCCCCCGTGAGGTTTTCACCAGGATGAAATGGGATTAGCTTTGTAGTTCCTATAATCTTCTTCACAGAAGAATGCAATTTCAGTTTCATTGGCTGAAAAATAGAAAAACAGAAAATGGAAAAAAAATTAAAGTGAAACTAGATTTTAAAGAAGTACAGAAATCCATATTAAGTGCTTTAGAAGCCTAAAATGAGAAGTGTAAGTTGTTTTTCACATTACACTAAATCAACTAGAAGTCTAAGTTGTAGTTATCAGAATCAAGAATTCAAGTTACTTAAAAGTAAAAAAAATTAAAAACAAGAATTAACACATGAATCTGGTTTTCAGGAAATCATACAGTTTTCATTTACAGTTCTCTTCACAGTCCTGGAAAATAACAAACCTTTATTTTTTCAAATTTGCTGCTCAGTTACTCAAGGAGGAGGAAAAACTCTTTTTTTCCTCTCTGAAATTAGCCTGTAGGTATAATAATTTAATACTTAGAGGATCAGTAGAATACTCTACAGATCACTTTACATTCTCCCTCATGACCCATCAAAATATGTGTCTGAAGAAGTTAATTTTTTTGTCTGCTTATGATTAATTCATGAGGCTTCAACAATATGCAAAGTGAAAGACACAAATTGGCTTCTACCGCAATACCTTCAAATACCTCTAATTATTCACAGGGGATATGGCACAGCTAAAGGACCCAGAAAGGTTCTGAGCAGTCACAATTCTTTCAACCTAGCAGGTCAAGGACTCTGTCTTCCAAAACAATAAATCAGCAACATTATTAATTCAGACTGGAGACAAATCTGATGGAAAGCCTTCCAATTATTAAACATGCAATTCTTTAAGGTGATGCGCCAACAAGTTCCACATTCGCTTTTTAAATTAAACCAGAAGTTAATACAGTCTGCTTAGCTTTTACAGAAAGAGCAAAAGGGCCTTCAGAATCTTGACAACAAAACAGGCAAGATTATTTGTAATGAATACTGATCACTCAATTAACATATCCTCTAAAAACTGACAAGTAAAACTCTTCAAGCCAAATAAATAGGATAATAAGGAAGGATGCCAAGGATTATCACCATCCTCTTAGTTTACAACTGTCACTACCTCATTAGAATTTATCACAAAAGAATGAAATTAAAGAACTTAGCATGACATTTCATTTAAAATGTTTTGCTGGTTTTAAGAGTATCAAATTCAATGTTTCTCAATCTTAAGTTACCTGTGCTCATTACAGAAAATACAGAAAGAAGAAAAAATCACCATGGTCTCAGATCCTCATTCCAGTCCTACTACATCTTCAAGATTAAATGAAGATTAATCTTGATGAAACTCAGATTGCAAACTCTTGTCACAGTGAGCCTGGGATAGGGGTGAGAAAGTAGAGAGAAACTGGGAATCAATGAGGAAGGGCTCTAAACAAATGCATTCTGCGCAAACAGGAACTTCATGTGACATTAAATATTACAAGAAAATAGCCTGTGAAAAAATGGCTAAGAGGCTCCACATTTGGAATCAGTAAAATGGTGAAAAGGGAACTTCAAAACTTTCAGTATTGAGGGGGAAGATATTTTGAGGTCTATCCTTTATATGAAAAGCTCCCAGCATTTCCTCTTTTAAAAAGAAGCAAGCCCCAAGTAGACCTATATAATTTGCCAGTGATTCAAATTATCCTTCTAATGGAGAATGAGCAAAAGCACCCTGCCCTAATCATCGCAAAGCAAGGTTTTACCTGCAATGTGCTGTTTACACACAGAATTTTACATAGTGCTTTGCCTACACAGCTCTGCACTCAATACACGCTAACTGTAATTACAATTTTCACGTGCTGCAGTTGACACTTAGCTGTACCCCTTTTGAGAAACTAATACATGGTACAGCTCTTCAGTACAGTACTAAGAGGTTCAGAATAAGCTAGTGTAAATAAAGGACTGACAAAGCATTTTTGTTTTGACATTGGTTCTCTTGTGTCTAAGTAACTTACAGATCAACCCACTGTTTATTTAAAGTATTCATGCCATCTCTCATAACACAAGCCCAAAATGAAACCATCTAAGGTACAGATTTTGTTTTCAGCTGAATGCATTTTTTCAGGAAACTAGACTGGCAATGTGTTAAATCCAAATACTCCAGATTGAAGACATTTTTCACCCTCAACAAACTAGGAAACAACACACAAACTAAAAGTTAATTATTCTGATTATTCAAAAGACATAAAACGGATTTTAAACTTTAGTAATGTGGCCCTCAAACAGATATAGAATATGATGTTTTTTTAAATCAGTAAAATCTGTTGAAAATGTTGAGAGAATGACTTCACGTATCATACTGCAAATATACTTGCCAATTAAAGTAAAAACCGAAAGTGAATTATAGAAGATTTTCAAGACCTCTATAAAATCATCCTTTCCACCATTATCACTTAAATTCTTGTTTCCCAAATTCTACTTAAAATTGCTCCAGAAGAACCCTCAAGAAGTCTCCCGTGTGCCAATCCCCTAGGGCACCTGATTTTAAATTAAATGTGCTGCAGGGGCAGTGTGCTCAGGTGCAGAGTGCCTTGGCATGTGAATCTGAAATGAATCTAAAATCTAAAATCCAGTAAGTGCATTGTCAGTTTATCCCTTTGTTTTACTACCAAATGAAACCAACAAAGAACCCTCCAAAAATATTTGTGGATCATCTTAATACTGACTTTCAAGGTTAATGTAACAGACACAAGCTAGGACATTCAAATTTTAGATATGCAATTAAAAACTCTGTAATGCTTCCAAACAAATCAGACACACACATATACCTTTAGCAGGAAAATAATAATAATGACCTTAAGTAAAAAAATATAAGAAAGCCAGTTTTAAATGTAAATTCTTAAGGAAAATTAAATGCAACATACTTAAACTCTTCAGTTTAAGTAAACTCACCATTGGGTGAGGGCTTATTGCACAATTTCTAAGTCCCTAACCTCATATTAGTTGGCCCAAAGTAGTAGAAGGCATAGCAACTGTTGTCTGGAAAAGAGATGAGACACATGCACTGACTTTGTAGTACAGATAACCGTCAGGACAGGCTGTAATGGGGCTGCAGTAATGTGGTAATAACTGCAGATTATTAGTGAAAAAAATATATAGTCAGGGCCATATATTTGCAATGTATCTGCAGCAATTTGAGACCAAAAGGATATAGTTTCACCCTCTCTCTTGGCCCAGGAATACATCCTGTCTTTCCAGGTGTCACAAAATCCTAATCTACAAATCATTCAAAACTGGGCTCATAGCACAGTTATATTTCTAAGTTTTCAGGGAAGAAGGTCCGCAGTCTGGAGAGGAGGTCCCAATCACTATGCTTTTCATTTCATATTTACTTCAAGCATCTGTTTTAGATCAGCTGCCAGAGAAGATCTCAAACTACAGTTTGAAGAAAGCAAAGAGTAAAATAAATCAGACCTGGACACATGCCTGTGATTGCACAGTGGCGAGGCGAGGGTAAAAAGGGAGGAACAATCATGGGAGGTTCCTTCTGACAGCTTGCTCTGGAATCCAAATTCCCTGAGCCCACCACCTGCTTTACCCAATAACAGACTATAGGTCCTTTGATGTTAACATGAAGAACAGGATGTCTAAGGAGGAAAGCATGTATGCCCTAAGAAACTACTACCCAAGAAAGAATGGGAGAGGGATCCAAGCCTTAAGGAAACACAAACATGATCAAATATGATCCTGATAAAAAAAAGTGGGAGTGAAAGAATGCTGCAATAGTGCTGTACATCAGAGATAACCAAAGGTGCTAGGCACAAAGGCAAGGTTCCGGCAGTGGGTAGACAACAGGAGTACAAACAAAATGAAAACCACAAGGGAGTTTTGGAATCATTATAGGATCTGGCTTGACATGCACTCTTCCCTGAGATAAGCACGGTTTGGCCCACTGTATCTTGTTTCAATAAAACACAAATATTCCCAATAAAACACAACTAGCTTTAGAAGAGTTACCCTGCCATAATTTCTTTCCTAAACCAAAGATAATTCAAATGATAATAGTAGTAGAATGTAACAAAATGAAGAGAGGTAAAAAAGCACCCACAAAATACTTAACATGCAAATTTATCACTCAGGGGATTAGTCCATAAAACTACAATTGTTAATAACAAGGTAAAAAAATCTTTGAATTACAAAGGAATTTCTAGGGAAAGCTTTCTGCTTCCTTCCATAAGGCAAACCTTTTTACTTATGTATTTTAGCTCTAAGTGCAAAAGCAAAAACTTCCCCTGATATCAGGAACAGAATATACAATTGGGATCTGCAATGCAGATAAAAGACCAGAGTAGGAACCAGAGAATTTCTCTGTGAGAAAAGAAATCTTCAAACAAGTTTGTTCCCCCAATTTTTCCCCCCTCACAGCCTTTACTTTCTTTCATAAATTGTGCAGAAAAGTCATAATGATAAATTTGTTACACTGGCATTATTTCCATGGCAACTGGCTGGGATAGCAGTAACAAGTCTACAGCAAGATCAAGTGGTAAAAAGGGAGAGAATGATGACTTAGAATTTTTCTCTTAAACCTCTTAGAAACCTAACCAGACACAGCCAAGGGAGAGAGAATTCCCTAGAAAAATCACACACTTCAAGTATCATTTTTACAACTCTACTCCCACTTAGGATTTTGTGTTGCTCTCCAGGGACTAACACGTGCTTCCCTGTGCATGACTGGCTTGTGCTCCGGAGCACAGCAACGCTGCTCTAGGGAACGAAAAGCAACAGGCAGGAAAGGAAATCACTCCCAGCAGGGAATGAAGCTGCCCTTGGCCAGGGCTGTGGGCTTGCCAGGGCAGGAGGGTAGTCAGCTCTGGTAATATCATGAAACTGGCGGAGAACTTATGAAAAGGCTCTGCTGCTGATCAAAGATCCTGGGCCTTAAAACAGGGATGACAAAAAGATGGATGTGAGTCTCACTTTTATAATTGATTCAGTATGTAAGTCTGAAATTAATGACAGTTAAACCAACTCATTATTTATTAAATTCAAAACATTTGCTAATTGCCTTCTCTAAACTGGTTTCCAAATAAGTATTTTGAGGGCCTTTTACATGTATTGTTCCAGATGGTTTCACACACATTCTTTTACTCAAACTCTGCAACAGATTTAATTATTTGTTTTGTCTTACAGAAATCAAAATAGAAGCTCAGAGAGACTAAATGGCTTAAAGAAGGTCACAAAGCAATTTAAGGCAGAGCCTTCATTCAAATCAATTTTCTCCAACTTCAGGGGTTATTTTTTAAAAGTGGCTCCTCAATTTACAACTAATGCATGTAAACTGTAGAAAAAATTTTAAATTACAAGAGTAACTAGACAATATGGAAAAGAAATTGCTGGCCATACCACCACCTAGAGAAACCATTTTTATAATTTTGGTGTATGATGTTTTTCTTCAGACACATACAGATGTGTAAATATATGCATTTTAATGGTATCACAAAATATATTCTATGTCCATCCAAAAAACAAAGCTCTACATCAGTAATTCACAAAAAGAAGGAGAGAGAGAACCCGGCCACCTCTTCAATGTGTATACCGACCTCACAGAGCTTGAGGGCACTCCTGTTGGCTTGGTAACAGCTAAGATGGAAAGCTTTCAGAAAATCTTATTGGTCAAACTCACCTATAGAAAGTTAGAAGTAATAAACTCTCCCAAGAGTAGTACAAGAGTAATATCCCAACACTGGCTTGGATATTACTACTTGTCCTATGTCCACTAGTCTTATAGTCACTGTTTGTCCAAGGTCACCCACAGTAACTGGCAGAATCAGGTTGTGAACACAAGCACTTCAGCTCTGGTCTCTAATTCTTAACCACTAGGTTAGTATACTACATCAATCTATTTTCATGTGCATTTTTCTCATTACTAATAGGACTGAACCATTTTGCACATGTTAGCTATTCCTATCAGAATTTCTTGTTTGTCTTTCTCATACTGACTACAAGAGCTCTTTATATAAAGTCAGACAAATAACTTTTTATTTACCATAGATGCAAATATTTTTTCATTGTTTATTGCTTCTCCTTCAACTCTGTTTACATATTTTAGTCTTTATGTGGTCAATCTATCACTTCTCCTCTTTACGGCTCTTCCTTCAAGGTCATGCTTAGAGAGTTCTTTGCCCCCCACCAGGATTATAAAACTATGGAGCTACACTTCATTTTTCATAAGTTTTTCTTAACATTATGACATTTAATAGATCTAGAATTTATTTTGGAATAAAGTTTGAGATAAGGATTTAAATTTTATTTTCCTAAATGCTTTGGCAATGGGCCCAATATCATTTTTCTGGCTAATTCATTCTTTCCCCCACTTACTTGATATATCAAAATTTTATCATATTATAAAATCTTACATTTCTCAGTTTCTTTTTGGAGTCTCTGGTCTTTTCCAAGGAGCTGTCAATTCCTTCATCAATACCAGTCTGTTATATTCATTACAGCTTTATGCTTTAACAACAAGCAGAGCTTGTGTCTAAGTGCCACATGCCTCAGTAACACAGTTGCCACCTGCTATAATAATGCAACAGCTTTTGAAGAAATAAATGCCAAAATAAAAATTATTTTTCAAATAATAGCAACCAATCTTATATATGTCTCTCCATAATATGGAAAGACACTAAATCTAGCAAATAGTGTAGACATATGCAGAAACAAGTGTTAAGATTTAATTAGATGTTATTTAAAAACCTTATTTAAATTGGGAGATACATCAGGAACTTTCTTTAGCCACATGTGTAATTCAAAAGTGAACTTAGAATTTTTTTGACAGGAATTCTATTAACCAGTACCTGTAAATAATTATAAACTAAGTGGGATATGTGCTGTTTCATTAGAATCACTGGGCACAGAACTATGTCAGAGGCATAACCTCTTTGACTGCTCACATCTCTCTTAAAATCTTCACTCCTACCGCCAGATAACCTTTAGGTGTCTATACACAGAATAAGAGTGACATCTAATGGTCACAAAATTGTCACACAGCATTTCTTTCAAATAGAACTACATTCATACTCCAGGCTGAAAAGCTAAATCAGGCAATTTTTCAGCTGCACACACAAGGCTCCTATTTGGAATTCCATGACGTGGTCGGCCCGAGTGACCTGGATGACTGTCGGAAACCAGACTGCTTGTTACCAAACAACATCTCACTTCATTATCCCACATTATATCTACCAGCTCCATTTCTCTCAAACCATCAGTTCAAATGATGCTGATAAGAGTAAGTAGGTTATGAAGTGATAACCTGTCAATCACTTAAAATAACCTTCAGCATAATTCTGAGCATACCTTCTGAGAAGAACTATTTGCATTCTGAACACTTGGAAAGCAGATAGCTACTGCCCTCAGTCAAATGAACTGAATGTACATCATTCTTTTCCTCCTTTGCTGAATAATTACCAGGCAATGTAAAGAGCACTGAGGGTAGCATTTACTTTGTGGTGAGTTATCCAAATATAATCAGCCAGCCATCACCATACAGGCCTGGGAAGTGAGTGCCCCCTCCAGCACTATCTAAGGACTCTTTCTCACCAATTCCAGCTGCTTTCAGAGTGCTGTCTTCTTTCAAGAGTAGTCTGTCATCATCTTCCAAACTCAACACGAGTTCATTTGTCTAGAAAGAAAGAAAACCTGCATTTTAGCAGTACGACTATGTGTTTCATGTTTGGTAAGATTTCTCAAAGACAGTACTGCTCCTTTGGGTCATAGCAATAATCTAAGTCACATTCTACTCCCAGTGTTGTAAGGGGAGAAGTAATCAGTGCATGCCTACTAAGCATGCACACTGTAAAGCACTGGGGAGACAGCGCTATACAATGGTACTTTGGAGCTTGATCTGGGTTAAAATTCAGGGTCCACCAATGACCAGATGTGTGCTTTCAACAAACTATATAGCCTCCTTAGACTCAGTTTTCTCATCTGGAAGAAAAGGGGAAAAGAAAAGAATGCATCTTCTCTACCACCTTACAGTGAGGATGGAATGAATGGAGCCCATAAAACCCTCAGCATGATGTCCGTCACATGGCAGGCACTCTCTGTCAGCTGCTGCTGATTTATTACAGTTGTCTCATCTCAGAACTCCAGGAGGAATCAGAGGCTAAGACACAGGCCCAAAGTACATGGCTGATTAGTCATGGAACTGTTTAAGCTCTGACCAGTCTGACTTCTGAGAGAAGCAAATTTACTTTGATGTAAAGTCCACATATCTAAAAACCTTGCCCTAGCTAATAAACACTTGACCCCATATCATATTAAATGGAACATTTTCTATCTGATTTGGGGGTAGAAGTAGATGAGTTTTCTCTCTAAAGATATTTACAAATTCAGTTAAACATTATAAATATAGGAGAAAATTGAGGGTTGATACCTGCGCCTACATAGCACACAGAGGTGACCAGCAGCTGTGCAGGCAGTACCACTTGCCAACCAGAATGCAACTGTTCAGCATTGGGTTTTATCTCTAGAATATGGCTGAGAGGGACAGTCAGCAGAAAGGCCACACAGCAGTCAAAATAGAAGGCCCAGAAGCTATACAACATGGTTCACAATTTTATTCATTCCAGAGCACACAGATTAAAAGGTGAGATAAAACTTCATTAAAGAAATCATTTTAGAATAGGTAATATATACTCATGATTGCAAAATTCTTCAAGTACATATGGATAGAGAATGAAAAATAAGTCTCCTTCCAACCCCTATCCACTATCTACCTAGATCTCCTCCAGAGAATTTGTACCAATTCCTGCATATCCTTCCAGAGATCATCTCTGTATATATAAAATGCAGGTAGAGATGTGCATGTAAACTTTTTCACCCAAATAAATAATGTTTTAACACCTTATTTTTGCTCATAAAATATAGTTTTAAATAATTCAAAATCAGTATACAAGCTGCCCCATAATTTATCAAGGCTACTGAGTATTCCATTAAAGGGATACACACATACATACACACACACACACACACACACTCTCTCTCTGTCCCTCTCTCTCTCTCTGTCTCCGCCCCTATTGATGGACATTTAGGTTGTTTCCAATCTCTTACTACCATAAACAATCCTGCAATGAATATCCTTGTACATATATTATTTTGTATACATATCAATTTTATCTGTAAGATAAATTCATAGAATTGTTGGGCCAGGGAATATATGCAATTTTTATTGCAACAGATATTGCCAAATTACTCTCCAGAGAAGTGGTATCAATTTACACTAATGCCACCAATCACTGAGAGAACCTGTTCCCCACAACCTCACCAACATGTATTTTCAATACCTTCTGATCTTTGCCAACCTAATAGATGTAGATTAAGTGTAGTCTTAATTTGTATTTATTTTGAGTAAAGTCATGAATATTACTTTTTAATGGACTTGTAGGATAATTTTTTAATGGATTTGTAGAATATCATTATATACTAAGAAAATTAGGTCTTTTCTGTATATAAGTTAGAAAAATTTCCCCCAGATTTCATTTGTTCCTTGAATTTTCTTAGAGTGTTTTTAATAGAAAGTACTGAATGTTGAACAAATTAAAAGTAAAATGTTTCCATTTTTAATGGTTTTCTATCATTAATTTTTCTGTTTCCTATCATAAAGACCTTCACTCTAAGATCACTTTTAAAATTTCATGTTTTCTTCAAATATTTTTATTAAATTTTAAAAATTTAATGGAAAATTTCAAATATATATAGAATAATATAAAGAACCCTCTATGTACCTATCACCTGGCTTGAACAAATGATCCTCAATCTGTTTCATCTCTACCCTTATCTATGGGTTTTATTTTCATATTTAAGTCATTAACCCAATGGGTATTTATTTTGGCATAAAGAAAGGATATGGATTCAACTTAAAACTGTTTCCTAGATGTCTACCCAATTGTTCTAATAACATTTATTGAATCCTTCATATTTTCTCCATAGATTTGAATGTCATATTTACTATGCACTAAATTCCCAAATACATTTGGGTCTATTTTTGGACTTAAAATTCTCTGCCACTGAACTAACAGTTCATGTGACAGTACCACACTGTTTTCATTGCTATCATTTTATAATTTAGATAAATTCGGCTAGAGCTAGTCATGCTCATTTCTTTCCTTCTTCCTACTAGTCTTCATCATTTATTTTTTGCATAGTAATTTTATAATCAGCTTTAGTTTATATATGTACATAACTGTTAGTATTTTATTTGAGTGGCATTAAATTTGTAAATTAAGAGAAAACTGACATTTTCATGCTGTTGCATCCCATCCAAAATATCCTAAGCATTTCCATCTAAGTCTTACTTGGATCCTTGGCATGTTTTACTTTTTTGTTAAATTGAGGTAGAATTCCACATATGTAAAATGCACAGATCTTAAGAGTTCAGTTCAGTGACTCTGAACAAATGAACACCCTCACTTGCATTTCAAAGTTTTCTTCTAAAATATCTTACACATTTCTTATAAAGTTTATTCCAGGGCATGACTTCTTCCTTTCATAAGTTCTGAACACATATAGTTATCTTGTTTCCAAACTTACAAAATACAAAATATAAATTAAGAGTTTTTATTCCTAATGTTTTTAGTAGGAATTATTCTGACTTTATAAATAGCCTAGTGAATATAATCCATAGCACACACACATATACATTTTCTTATTAACCATAAATCATGTTCCAGTAATTATTTGCACTATACTATTCATTCATTCATTCAATAAACACTGAGCTCATAGTCCAAATGGAAGGCTCTGGTGGAAAGATATCCAGACAGCCTTCTATTGTGATGGGAAGAAATTTCTGTGGACACCTGGTAATTATAATTAAGCAAATCTCTAAACCTAGAAAATAGGGGAAATGGGAAAAATACCTTTTGGGACAAATTCACTATGATACAGGAGTTATTTGGAAGTCTCTCCTTTGGCTGAGGAAGGAGATAAAATACTGCTGGTTTGGAAAACTAACAGGCTGGGCAAGGGATGTCTGCAGGCCCTGCAGATGGGGAGTCAGATAAAGCAAAAATGAGGACAGGTGGGTAAAGTTTATCTGAAGCTTTAAGACTGTATCCATAAAAATATAATGACCCCTTTCCTTATAAAAGTTGAAGAGGAAACTCAAAGAACCATCTCGAAGATATATAGTACGTACATAACTAGAATTGTTACAGTTTAGATGAAAGTTTATAAAGCCAGATTCCAGAAAAATGCTAAGTGAGTTAATTTGTTTTGGGAGTCCCTCTTTAAATAAATACTTTATATAACAACTGGAAAGATAAGCCCTTATTTTACAATTCTAATGTGCCAGGATGTAACATGCATTTTAAATATAATAAACACTTCTAGGGCACAATAATTCGCAATCACAATATAAGTTGGTCACAGGGATGGTAGTACAGCATGGAGAACAGTTAATGATTCTGTAACACCTTACTATGCTGACAGGTAGTAACCACACTAGAGGTAGTGAGGATTTAATATTATGGGTAACTATTGAACCACTGTGTGGTATATTTAAAATGAACATAAGATTGTATATTAATGATAGTTTAATAAAAAATAGAGAAAAGAAACAGTTCTAATACATTTCCAACTACAGAGGAAAACTTCCTGATTTTTTAAAATGTCATGATATTGATAATTTGAAGATTAGCAACTAGGTCTTCACTAGGATAAAGGAATAACTTGCTAATTATTCCTTTTAGAAAACATGTACATATAAACAAGCCCAGCAATGTAAAAATGCAACACTGAATAAAAAAATGACATGACACATTATTTAACATCAGTTTCAAAGAGTATGTTGCTTTAACTTTACTTTATATTATATCTTTTTTCCCCCTCTACAATAAGACCAAGTTTCCTATTCTCCACATTTTAGGGACAAAGTAAGAAATACTCCTGGCTCAGAGGAGAGAAAATGGAAGCATCTGAGGCCAGATACAGTAGAGAGACATTCTAATATCCATACCAAGTACAGACTCCAAACCACAGCCCCAGCCACATGTGAGCACTCAATTTTAAAGCATTGACAATGAATATTATCAAATTTGTATCTATAACCCTTGGTATAAAAAAAAGTTACTGGAAAAAAATAGCCCTGCCAACACCTTGCTTTTAGCCCAGTGAAAATGACTTTGGACTTCTGGCCTCCAAAACTATAACAGAGTAGATGTGTGTTGTTTTAAGCTACAGGGCAAAATAAAAATTTACGTCACTAACTCATAGTCAACAGATATATCTTCATGCCATTTTCTTTGTGATCTCTGGTATACATTTATTTGAAAGCCGATTGAGCTTATGAAAGGCATCTATGACTAGAAAAGAATGAAATTAAGCAAATTCATAAATTCTTAATTCAAAAGTTTTTATAGAAACATTCATATGAATGAGGCATTGGATTAGGTATTAGAGACATGAAGAGTAAGATAGGGTCCCTTATCCTAAAGCAGGTAGTACTCCATTTGTGTAATGGCGTAAGATTATTGCTTTAATATATAGTCACTTCAAGGTCATGGAGATTCAAGAAAAAAGATCATGCTAGTCTGTCTGTATGAGAAAAAAACCTTTGGTTGTGGCTTCATATAAACATTACTCTAAAAAAGTAAGAAAACAGAAATGTAAACACAATAAACACATACCTAAACAGTTCTCTTTGGGGCAGATAAAACAAAGTTAGGATTGCAGGTCATGCCCTCTGTAGAAATAGGAGGTTTATTCCCAAGAGCCACTGTCCTGGGCCTTACATACAGAAAGAGTCAAGTTAGAAACAGCAAATTATTTGTATCTGCTTTTGGCTCTTTTCTTCTGATACAGAACTAAGAAAATCAAAGAGACTGGAGTGCCAGATAACAAGGGCTTCCTTTGCATGAAACATGAATTTACCAAGTTTTATGCTTTTTTATTTTAAAAATTTGCTTGATATATTGTGGTCTCTTGAATAACATAACAGTTAGGGCCTTGACCCCCCGCCATGCAGTCAAAAATCCACAAATAATTTTTTGACTCCCCAAAATCTCAACTACTAATAATAGCCTATTGTTAACCAGAAACCTTACCAATAACATAAACAGTCAATTAACACATATTTTGTATATGTATTATACACTGTGTTCTTATAATAAAAGAAACTAGAGAAAAGAAAATGTTTTTTCAAATGGCTGCAAATCTCCAAAAAATTTTCCATTATATTTCTTGAAAGAAATCTACATGTAAGTGGACCCACACAGTTCAAACCTCTGTTGTTCCAGAGTCAACTGTACCATGTATGCTTTTTTTCTAGTTAATACATTTTTTCAAAGGACCTACTGCTAACATGGATATGACTTACAGTTTTTTTGTTTTGCTTTGTTTTTAATGGAAAAGTAAGGCTGTAGAAAGGATATTTACAAAATAAAAAATGCTATTATAATAGAAAATATTTTAGAAGTACGTGTTGAATCATTTTTTTCACTAAGTCAACCAACACTGATTAGTTGCTATGTGTCAGATACCACACATATGAGACAAACCTTTGATTTATGTGCTCGATGAATAATCTTTAGTTTATCTGAAAGAAAAAAACAAGTTGTCTTTTTACAACAATCACTCTAAAACTTCATTTCAAATTATTAAAAATGAAATAAATGAAATTTTCATTTAAAATTAAATAAGCTGTGAAATTTAAGTCCTTGCCTTAATAATAAAGTACACAATAAAAGAATAATTACTTTCACATATTATCAAAATTAAAGAACACTGTATAAAGATATCTTAAAGCCTTGTCTCTGACACACACAACTATGTTTGTGCTATAACCTGAAGTCAGCTCAGCACATTTTCCCTTAGAATAGGAGACAGGTGAACCATACTACTGTATCTGGTTTGGGGAGCTGCTAAAGACTAGGATTAGCAAATAATGTTTTTTAATATCTTAAATGAAGACAGAAATTCACAAAAACAGTTCAAGAAAACCTACTAATCTCTCACAGTAGATACAGTGACAAGTCAAATGATTATACTATGAGTTTATCACTCTCAGAATTCAAACACTATCAAAGACCACTGATAATCTGAAAAAGGCTGCTAATGCCAAAGAATACCACAATCTGCCTTCCAGTATTCAAACACTGCACAGGCTCACACCATCTAATCTGCTTTATTGTATCCCTCCTTCACTCCTTAATCTGTTTATCCTGAAGTCAGGCTACACACAGCTTTTCCAATATGTCATTTCTCCACATTCTGTAATATTCTAACTCTGCCACAATCACTATTAATTATATAATAGACTTAGCATTCAACAAGTTTAAATTCAAAGTTTCGACTGCTCACTTGGTTTTATTTAATCATTTAATTAATGTATTAGATTCCATTGTATTATTGTATCCGAATAAACTCTTAACCTTAAATTAACATTAATTTCTATCAATCATGCTGTTTAATTCAATGAGGAACTCCAACAGTGAAATGAAACTAAAACATCTATTTTAAAATAGTTCTTGATTTAACTATGTTTTAATAATTCAGAAGAATAGGGTACCTATCCAGTTAAGAACTAGCACTCTGAATTACCCATTATGTTAAATAGTTAACTTTCAGTTACCTATTGAAATTTTTAATACAAGGTCAACCTAATCCTGGGGCTATAACCATGTATTGTTAGGAAAAAAAAATAAATCCAACCCAAGTGAAATAGAAATAACATTAGGATTCTAAATATACCACAATTGCTAAAAATAAGCTTACAATATACAAAAGAAAATAAACAAATGTTACTTTTAGATTATCTATTATTCTGAGTTATGTATTATACCGTATTTCTCACTGTAAATAAATACTGGTTTATTATTGGACACCAGTTAGAGAAGACAGTAGCAGCTTTTCTACTGCTTAAAGTCTGTAACAGACACATTGTAACAGCCTTACAATCAACCTGCAAAAATGTAGTTTGACCTTACCAAATATTAATCATGTTCTCTATCTTTTGCTAATGAGCCTTAAATTAGAAATATCTTTGCTCTAATGCATTCTGCAAACCCACAAAAATAAAAAAAACACATCTTTGAGCAGCAGAAGAAATGCTTTGAACAAAAATAAGTCTTCATTATGAACAGAAACAACATCTGTGGGTATTGTTTACTTAAATGCAAACTGCTTGAGGAGAGTAACCTCATGAAAATATGAATAATATGTTTGTGGAGTATTTAAGATGTTTGCACCAGTATTGTTTAATCTCACACAGCCTTATGAAACAACAATATTAGCAGCTCTGCACGGCACAACAACCAATACTTACTTCTTACACACATGTATAATGTCTAGGTAATATGGATTTAAAATTAAGGCAACATCCTCTGTGCTTTACAAGCACAGTCTGGTCAAGGTGAATCAATAATACATGTAAGGTGCCAATTAAAAGCGGGAAGAGGCTCTGACAAATCTCAAACTCTCAGTGGTCTGGCCAAGAGACCCAGCCCTCGCTAAAGTACTCAGAGAAGCAAATAGCAAAACTGAAACTGGGTGTGTCTTTTCCACTCCCAAACACACTGTGAGTTCTATTCCCACAGAACATGCAGCAATACCGGAGGACGGTGACAGATGAGAAAGTAACACTTCAGCTTTTCTTATTGAAGAACACAAAGCAGCAGATTGTTAAAGAGCCAAACTCAGTCACTTGAAGTCTATCAAAGCCTAGTGATTCTCTAATTTCTTCACAGATAAATGTATTCATTTTTCCTGCTATTCATCTGATTAGTATAGAAATACTAGGATGAAATGGTATTAATAAGGTAAAATAATATAAAAGATCATTACCTCCATGATGATTAGCAGCAAATACTCTGATGCTTTCAATTTCTAAAATTTACCTTTCAAAACAACTTACATGGAATACAGGTTTAAACACATACACCCACACGCAAAAAGGAAAACTGTATGTAACTTCTGGTTTGAAATGGCACCTGCAGGTGGACTTAATGTAAGGTTATATTTCACAGCATTACACTTTGAAAGCCATGAAAGTCAAAATTGAGGAGTTTCACATTTACTTAATCATGCTTTCTGTTCCTTTCTCTTATTCAATAGTTAGCATGTAAATTCTGTAAATCCAATAACTCAAAGTACTTTCCAGTCAGTGCTTTCAACTTCTCCGGACTACCCCTCACGACCTCCCAATTAGTCTCTGGATATTAAGATGCACACAGACGGTGAACGTTGTGATTTCAAAGTATTTTAGGTCATAAGTTGCTCCACCAAATGGGAACAGAATTTAAAGCCACTCCAAAAAATGATCTAAGTTAATAAAAAATTTATATTTCAAAATGTCAGTAGCAATTAACAGAAAGGTTTATCAGGTGCATCATAATTTTCAAGGGAAGTCTCAAAGTTTGATGAATGTCACTATGCTGAAGGCCAGTAACTGTACCATTGTGAAACAAAATAAGAAAACCCAGCTTCTTGCCTTACTACTGCATTTTAAAATCAACAATTGCAACAAATAAAACGATTGGCATTTAAAATGTTATCTCTTATTTCCAGCATTTAATCATTTCTCCTTTTCTGATTACCTGGCAAAGAAATTCACTTCAGATAGTTTGCCAGACATGCTATTTCTCACATGCCACTTCCCTACACTATTACAATTTGCTTTAACAACACACTAGGATTCCTGTATCTCTAAAGAAACTTCCCTATTGGTTTTTTTTTACATAGTTAATGTACAATTACTTGAACAACATTATGGTTACTAGACTCCCCCTATTATCAAGACCCCCCCACATACAGCATTACGGTCACAGTCCATCAGCGTAGTAAGATGCTATAGAATCATTACTTGTCTTCTCTGTATATACTGCCTTCCCCATGTCCTCACCCCACTACATTATGTGTGCTAATCGTAATGCCCTGTTTTCCCCCTTATCCCGCCCTTCCCACCCATTCTCCCCAGTCCCTTTTCCTTTGATAACTATTAGACCATTCTTGCGTTCTGTAAGTCTGCTGCTGTTTTGTTCCTTCAGTTTTTTCTTTGTTGTTATACTCCACAGATGAGTGAAATCATTTGACACTTGTCTCTGCCTGGCTTATTTCACTGAGCATAATACCTTCTAGCTCCATCCATGTTGTTGCAAATGGTAGGATTTGTTTCCTTCTTATGGCTGAATAATATTCCATTGTGTATATGTACCACCTCTTCTTTATCCATTCATCTACTGATGGACACTTAGATTGCTTCCATTTCTTGGCTATTGTAAACAATGCTGCAATAAATATAGGAGTGCATATGTCTTTTTCAAACCGGGCTGCTGCATTCTTAGGGTAAATTCCTGGAAGTGGAATTCCTGGGTCAAGGTGTATTTCTATTTTGAGTTTTTTGAGGAACCTCCATACTGTTTTCCACAATGGTTGAACTAGTTTACATTCCCACCAGCAGTGTAGGAGGGTTCCCCTTTCTCCACATCCTCACCAACATTTGTTGTTGTTTGTCTTTTGGATGGTGGCGATCCTAACTGGTGTGAGCTGATATCTCATTGTGGTTTTAATTTGCATTTCTCTGATGATTAGCAATGTGGAGCATCTTTTCATGTGTCTGTTGGCCATCTGAATTTCTTCTTTGGAGAAGTGTCTGTTCAGCTCCTCTGCCTATTTTTTTATTGGATTATTTGCATTTTGTTTGTTGAGGTGTGTGAGCTCTTTATATATTTTGGATGTCAACCCTTTATTGGATCTGTCATGCAAGAATATATTCTCCCATACTGTAGGATGTCTTTTTGTTCTACTGATGGTATGCTTTGCTGTAGAGAAGCTTTTTAGTTTGATATAGTTCCACTTGTTCCTTTTTGCTTTTGTTTCCCTTGCCCAGGGAGATACGTTCATGAAGAAGTTACTTATGTTTATGTCCAAGAGATTTTTGCCTATAATTTTTTCTAAGAGTTTTATGGTTTCATGACTTACATTCAGGTCTTTGATCCATTTTGAGTTACTTTTGTGTATGGGGTTAGACAATAATCCAGTTTCATTCTCTTACATGTAGCTGTCCAGTTTTGCCAACACCAGCTGCTGAAGAGGCTGTCATTTCCCTATTGTATATCCATGGTTCCTTTATCATATATTAATAGACCATATATGCTTGGGTTTATATCTAGACTCTCTAGTCTGTCCCACTGGTCTATGGGTCTGTTCTTGTGCCAGTACGAAATTATCTTGATCACTGTGGCTTTCTAGTAGAGCTTGATTTGGGAAGTGAGACACCCCCTTATTTATTCTTCCTTCTCAGGATTGCTTTGGCTATTCAGGGTCTTTTGTGGTTCCATATGAATTTTAGAACTATTTGTTCCAGTTCGTTGAAGAATGCTGCTGGTATTTTGATAGGGATTGCATTGAATATGTAGATTACTTTAGGCAGGATGGCCATTTTGACAACATTAATTCTTCCTACCCAAGAGCATGGGATAAATTTCCACTTGTTAGTGTCCTCTTTAATTTCTTCTAAGAGTGTCCTGTAGTTTTCAGGGTATAGGTCTTTCACTTAATTGATTAGGTTTATTCCTAGGTATTTTATTTTTTATGATGCAATTGTGAATAGTATTATTTTCCTGATTTCTCTTTCTGCTAGTTCATTGTTAGTGTAGAGGAATGCGACAGATTTCTGTTTATTAATTTTGTATCCTGCAACTTTGCTGAATTCAGATATTAGATCTAGTAGTTTGGAGTAGATTCTTTAGAGTTTTTTAAGTACAATATCATGTCATCTGCAAACAGGACAGTTTGACTTCTTCCTTGCCAATCCAGATGTCTTTTATTTCTTTGTGTTGTCTGATTGCTGAGGCTAGAACCTCCAGAACTATGTTGAATAAAAGTGGGGAGAGTGGGCATCTCTGTCTTATTCCCGATCTTAAAGGAAAAGCTTTCAGCTTCTCCTGTTAAGTATAATGTTGGCTGTGGGTTTGTTATATATGGCCTTTCTTATGTTGAGGTACTTGCCCTTTATACGCATTTTGTTGAGAGTTTTTATGATGAATGGATGTTGAATTTTGTCAAATGCCTTTTCAGCATCTATAGAGATGATCATGTGGTTTTTCACCTTCTTTTTGTTTATGTGGTAGATGATGGTGATGGTTTTTTGAATGTTGTACCATCCTTGCATTCCTGCAATGAATCCCAATTGATCATGATGGATGATCTTTTCGATGTATTTTTAAATTCGGTTTGCTAATATTTTGTTGAGTATTTTTGCATCTATGCTTATCAGGGATATTGGTCTGTAATTTTCTTTTTCTGTGGTGTCTTTGCCTGGTTTAGGTATTAGATTGATGCTGGCCTCAGAGCATAAGTTTGGAAGTATTCCCTCCTCTTCTACTTTTTGTAAAATTTTAAGGAGGATGGGTATTATGTCTTCACTAAATGTTGATAAAATTCAGTGGTGAAGACATCTGGTATGGGAGTTTTGTTCTTAGGTAGTTTTTTATTACCAGTTCAATTTCCTTGCTGGCAATTGGTCTATTCAGATTTTGTGTCTTTCTGGGTCAGTCTTGGAAGGCTGTATTTTTCAAGAGAGTTGTCCATTTCTTCTAGGTTATCCAGTTAGTTAACATATAATTTTTCATAGTATTCTCTCATAATTCTTTGTATTTCTGTGGTGTCCATGGTGATTTTTCCTTTCTCATTTCTGATTCTGTTGATTAGTCTGGCTAGGGGTTTATCTATTTTGTTTATTTTCTCAAAGAACCAGCTCCTGCTTTCATTGATTCTTTCTATTGTTTTATTCTTCTCAATTTCATTTATTTCTGCTTTAATCTTTATTATGTCCCTCCTTCTACTGACTTTGGGCCTTATTTGTTCTTCCTTTTCCAGTTTCATTAATTGTGAGTTTATACTGTTCATTTGGGATTGTTCTTCCTTCCTGAAGTACACCTGTATTGCAATATATATAGCAATATAGCACGACCTTCGCTGCATCCCACAGATTTTGTGATGTTGAATTATTGTTGTCATTTGTCTCCATATATTGCTTGGTCTCTGTTTTTATTTGGTCATTGATCCACTGATTAGTGAGGAGCATGTTATTAAGCCTCCATGTGTTTGTGGGCTTTTTCATTTTCTTTGTGTAATTTATTTCTAGTTTCATACCTTTGTGATCTGAGAAGCTGGTTGGTACAATTTCAATCTTTTTGAATTTACTGAGGCTCTTTTTGTGGCCTAGTATATGATCTACTCTTGAAAATGTTCCATGTGCACTTCAGAAGAATGGCATCTTGTTGCTTTTGGATGGAGTGTTCTGTAGATATTCATTAGGTCCATCTGTTCTAATACATTGTTCGGTGCCTCTGTCTCTCCTTATTTTTTGTCTGGTTGATCTGTCCTTTGGAGTGAGTGGTATGTTGAAGTCTCCTAAGATGAATGTATTGCATTCTATTTCACCCTTTAATTCTGTTAGTATTTGTTTCACATATGTAGGTTATCCTGTGTTGGGTGCATAGATATTTATTATAGTTATATCCTCTTGTTGGACTCACCCCTGTATCATTATGTAATGTCCTTGTCTCTTGTGACTTTCTTTGTTTTGAAATCTATTTTTTCTGATACATGTCCTGCAACTCCTGTTTTTTCTCCCTGTTAGTTGCCTGAAATATCTTTTTCCATCCCTTTACTTTCAGTCTGTGTATGTGTTTGGGTTTGAAGTGAGTCTCTTGTAGGCAGCATATAGACGGGTCTTGTTTTTGAATCCATTCAGTGTCTCTTTGTCTTTTGATTGGTGCTTCAGACCATTTACATTTAGGGTGGTTATCAACAGGTATGTACTTATTGCCAATGCCAGCTTTACCAAAGGTTCAAGGGTAATTCTCTCACTATCTGGGAGTCTACTTTAACTCACTTCATGTGCTATTACAAACACAACCTAAAGGTTCTTCTTTTTTTTTTCTTCTTTTTCTTCCTCCTCCATTCTTTGTATGTTATGAATCATATTCTGTGCTCTTTGTCTATCCCTTGGATGACCTTTATTTAGCCTTAGGAATACTTCCATCTATAGGAGTCTCTCCAAAATGCACTGTAGAGGTGGTCTGTGGGATGTAAATTCTCTCAACTTTTTCTTATCTGAAAATTGTTTAATCCCTCCTTCAAATTTAAATGATAACCTTGCTGGGTAAAGTATTCTTGCATCAAGGCCCTTCTGCTTCATTGCATTAAATATATCATGCCACTGCCTTCTGGCCTGTAAGGTTTCTGTTGAGAAGTCTGATAATAGCCTGATGGGTTTTCCTTTGTATGTGATCTTTTTTCTCTCTCTAGCTGCTTTTAAAAGTTGGTCTTTATCCTTGATTTTTGCCATTTTAATTATTATATATCTTGATGTCGTCTTCCTTGGGTCCCTTCTGTTGGGAGATCTGTGCACCTCCATGGCCTGAGAGACTATCTCCTTCCCCAGATTGGGGAAGTTTTCAGTAATTACCTCCTCAATGACACTTTCTATCCCTTTTTCTCTCTCTTCTTTTCTGGTACCCCTACAATATGAATATTGTTCCATTTGGATTGGTCACACAGTTCTCTCAATATTCTTTCATTCTTGGGAATTCTTTTTTTTCTTTGTGCCTCAGCTTCTTTGTATTCCTCTTCTCTAATTTCTATTCCATTTATCGCCTCGTTTACTACTTCTAATCTGCTTTTAAATCCCTCCATTGTATGTTTCATTTCAGATATGGAATTTCTTAATGATTGAATATCCAACTTAAATTTGTTCCTGAGTTCTTGAGTATTTTTCAATACCTCCATAAGCATGTTTATGATTTTTATTTTGAACTCTCTTTCAGGAAGATTGGTGAGTTCAGTTTCATTAGACCCTTTTCCTGGGGTTTGTGAGATTTTGGTCTGAACCATGTTCTTTTGACATGTCATATTTCTGTGTGGTGCCCACTAGTGCCCAGAAGCTCCTGTCTCTGGAGCTGCTCAGCCCCTAGAGTGAGGTTGGGGGTCATAGGGGAGTGGAGCTGGTACCTGGCAGGAGGAAATATCTGTTTCTTGATTCCCGCCTGCAGTGCCTATCTCAAGTGTCAGAGCCAGTGGACCAAGACACAAGCCTCTGTGCTTTGTGTCTACAGTGGCTGTAGGCTGAGTCTCCTTCTGGCTGGCCTGAGGCCAGTGCAGTGATTGCTGGTTTGTGAACCAGTGCAGGCAGGCCAGAAAGAAGGCGCAACAGCCTCTGTGTCACATTGGGGGTCCTCAGAGCTGAGTAGGAAGCCACGGGGATGGGGCACCTGAAGCTCCTCAAAGTTCCCAACCAGCTGGGCAGAGCATGCCCAGACAACCTTGTCTAGCTCTCCCCTCCCCTGCACAGCAAGCTCTGTGCAAACCCCGTTCCTTCAGCAGCACTCTCACTGCTGTGATGCTTCTCAGACCGCCTGCCTTTCCCTTGTCCCAGAGCAGCTGGGTGTGGATCCCCTCCTCCACAAATCTGTCTCTCAAGCACTCCACCTATCTGTGCTCCCCAATGTTCAGAGCACCACACAGTGTAGGTTTCTGCTCCCAAAGCAGACCTCCAGGGCTTGGTGTTCAGCAGTTCTAGGCTTCCATCCCCTCCCCAGCTCTGTTTCACTTCCTCCTGTTGGTGAGCTGGGGTGGGGCAGGGGCTTGGGTCCAGCCTGATAAAGGCTTTCATACGTTACACTGTGTTCGTGAGGTCTGCTCTGTTCATGAAGTCTGCATGCAGTCTGGTTCAGCCTCCTTTCTTGTTGCTGTTTTAGGGTTAGTTGTAGCAATTAACTATATTTTATACTATTTGTGGTTTTGGGAGGAATTCTCCATCTCACCTCTCACGCCGCCAGCTCAAATCTCATGTCTAAGAATCTTACAAGAAATCTCCCCTATTGGTTTTGATTTATGGAAAGTAAACTCATTTTTGAAAAACAAATTCAAATTCCCATCAATATAAAACTGAAATTTTATTAATATGTTTTTAAAAAGTAAGAAAAATTGTTTACCATATTTATAATTTCTGAATGGTGCTAGCAGACTGGTCCTTAAAGGGACATCTGTAAGATAAAGATTATTTTTATTACAAAATACTCAAATAGACACTACAGTATATGCACAGTCTTTTGGCTCTGCCCTCCCATCCCAGACTAAGCTAGTTTGAAAAAAATGATAGAGCACAAAATGAAGCTCACATGCCAGGAAAATACAAGGATAATCTAAAATAATGGAACCACTGATGAGATGTTGAAAGTGCTAGCTGAACTAAGAATTCTGTAACACTATTAAATGAATTGGCATTTTATAAAACACAGTAGCATCTATATACACTTGAAATAATGGTATACATTCTTGAGACATTATTTTCCATATAGTTGATGTTCATTAAGCATATGAATCTGAGAACCAGCCCCTTGAGGATCTTTGGCCAGTAGTGGAAACTAATGATCTAGAACAACCTACTACTCTTACCAAAATTCAGATAACCTACAATTTACTCTAACTCGGTGAAGAAAACAAAACAAACAACCAAAATAAAAAAGACAGAGTAAATATTCTTTTTAAAACAATGTTCCAAATATCAGAATTAGTTTTAATTAATAACTATGATGCTACAATCCCTACAGAAGGCAATTTGGTAATATATATATCAAGATTACATATGCATATACCCTCTGGCCATGCAGTCCCACATGGAGAATTTATCATAGAAATATTGTTTGCACACTCTTGTATGTGTGTGTGTGTGAAATGAAATACATACAAACGTACTAGCGGTAGCATTGCTTGCAACAGCAAATACTTAAAAAAATCTAAATGTCCTTCAATGAGTGCTTGTTAAATAAATTCTACCATGCCCACACAATGAAACATATTTTTCAACTCAAAAAAGGGAAGAGGAAGAGGAAGAAGCTCTCTAAAAACATGATAAGATCTTCAATTATGTCAAAGGTAAGGAAAGCACAAGGCAGAATATGATTTTTAGTAAAACACCTTTTGAGTAAAAAGAGGAAAAAGTAAGAATATCTGTTTGTATTTGAAAGTATTTATACTTCCATGGACAGGAGGAGCATGGTGCAGTAGTCACATAAAGAACAGAAATGGGAAGGAGATTTCACTGCATTCCTTTTTCTATTTTTATCTTAAAACAACATGAATGTGTTATTACTAAAGAGAACTTTTTTAAAACCCCACACATCTGAATCAGGACTTTTTTTAAGGTACATTTAACTTTTAAAGGACAAATATATACCAAAACAGATATGATTTATTCATTTATGTTACAAGTATTTAAAGTACCTATGACCAGGTATTCCAGGACAGTGTGAGAAAGAATCTACCAAGGTAAGACCCCACTCTTGAGAGCAAACACTCCCATGTGAATCCATAACACAGGTATGCTCACAGACAGGGCTGGTGCCTTATAAGTGTGGCTCCTACATGCTACATATTAGAATCACCCAGCCCAGCACTAGTGGATCAGACTCCCAGCAGGCTGGTCCCAGGCAGAGATGTTTGAAACACAAAATAAAAAACTGAGATGATTCTTGGTCAAACAAATTCACAGGGGCCAGACAGTTGACACAAGTGAGACAGCCTAGACAGGAGGGGCTGTGAGAACCAAGTGCACATACCCGATTAAAGAGAGCCACTGCCACTCAGTTCCAAGGGGTTGCCTGAATATTTAAACAAAAACACTAAAATTCTGTGGTTTCAGGTGAAATTTCCTGACTTTTAAAACACCATAGGACAAAGGAAACTGCAATCAGGATTTACCCGCCAGACTGCCCCCTCTGGCTTAGGCTTACCAGAGTTTACCTACACAAACACTTTATTTTATCCTTTTTGTTTCTCACTCACTTATGAATTATGGACCCAGGTGTTAATTAAACATTAAAAATAATTAAATTCATTTAATTTACTCCATTTATATTTCCTGCACTAGGCAATGAGACCCCTGGAAGAAAGGGGTGTGTAAGGAGCAGGTAGCTATGTGAAGCCACTCTCACTTGTAAATGTCTGCAGTCAATGAGAGCAAGTTGTTGTCTTACGTTCAATTTAGACTTCCAAAAGAAGAAACAATAACAGAAATAAACAGGAGTGCCTTTCCTATTTGTTCCTTTAGGTCAGTACAAGTGTCACAGCCACAGAGTTCCCTTGACAGCCCAGGTTCAAGAGAGGCCTCCTCAAAGAGCTTCCTTCATGACATTTATACAATTATAATTTCGTCTATTTACTTATTTTGGCTTCTTTTCCCACTAATTCACAAATTCTGTGAAATTAAAACACTATGCTCTGTCTCCCAAAACCTAGGGCAGCATCTGGCACATAACAGCTTAACAAATACTGGTTCCATGAGGGCAGGCACCACAGCCTATGTTCCTGATTGTGCTGCCAGTACCCCAAAGAGTGCCTGGAACACAGCTGGTTCTCAAAAATACTCATGAATGAATAAATATGACTTAATCCCTTCAATTGGTGGTTAAGAAGACTGGGGTCCCAAGAAGACAGCTGGTCAGCCGAGGGGACTAGAATCCAGCTGTGCTGACTCTGAAACTGCTGGACAGAGAAGGCAGGAATAAGATCATCTTCAAGACTGGCAGGAAAAAAGGCAGACCAGGGGTTACATGCATTATGGTGAGATAACCGCTTCCATAGAAACACATATAAAAATACCTGAAGAGAGGGAGAAAAGATCACAGCGTGAGTAATGGAGTAATGTGGCAGAAATCTCCTTCCAAAAACATATATATTTTGAAAATACAGCAAATACAACTATTCCTAAAAGAGTGACCAAAAGTAACAGTACCCCAGCCAGTCTACATCTGGGAGAACCCAACATCTCACGGAAAAGGGTAAAATAAAAAGCCACAACCCAGTGGAATACCAGCACTTCCCCCACCCCAGATAAGCAGCAATAGGTAAAGAATCAGAGTGGGGAGGGAGTGGAAGCACAGGACTGCTAAATACCCAGCACTAGAAATCTACCCCAGGCGCACAGAGGAGCACAGGAGCCCTGGAGATCAGAGGGGTTGAAAAGCAAAGTCTGAGACTAAGACTGAGAATAGTTTCCCACAACTGGCTGCCCTGGGACAAAAGAAAAGCAGGTACTTTAAAGGACCTCCCAACAGTCAGAGGGCTGCTAAAGGGGCAAGGGTTTAGGAAAAGGCATAGATGGATGAAATCATCATAGCACACTCAACCCAGCAGGTTGGGAACTTTCAGGAGCTTCAGGCGCCCTATCCCCCTGGTTAGCAATGCAGCCCCTAAGCCCCTGACCATGATAAGCAGTCTTCTGCTCCTTCATCAGTGTGGGCACCAACACAAAAAACAGCTGTCTGCACCATTGCTACAGACCACCCAGAGGGTAGCCCCACCTACAGCAACTACACAGCTTAAGTCAGAGACTTTTCCCTGTGTGCAACTTACCAGCCCAGACCCAGAGGCTGCTTGCTATGCATGACTGACCAGCTAGACAGCAGAGATGGGCACTGTGACCAGGAACCACGAAAGGACTCTATTATTGTGGCAGAACCCACACCACTCACCTGCAACTCCCGCCACCACCTAAGGCCATCCCAAGGGCCATCCTGTGCACAGAGGTTTATGGGATTAACCCAGAGGCCACTCCCTGTGTAAGGTTAGGCACAGACAGCAGAGACAGGCATGGTGAACAGCAAGCAGGATGAGACCTTGTCCTCCCAGCTGACACCCATGCCACTTGCCAGTGACCATTCCCATCACTCCAGACATATGAAAAGGCAGAAGAACCTTGTTCAATCCAAAATACCTCAAACACCAGAAAGAGGACTCGGTGAGACTGAAATCATGAATATTCCTGAAAACTAACTTAAAATAAAAGTAACAAGCATGCTAATGGAGCTATAGAAAAATATTCAGGAGCTAAGGGATGAATTCAGGAGGGAGATAGATGAAATGAAATAAACAATGGAGAGATTGAAAAGCAGATTAGCTAAGGTAGAAGACACAGTGAATATAAAAGAAATCAGAGAAGAGGAATACAGAGAAGATAAGGCAGAGAGAGAAAAAAGGCTCTTTAGTAGTGAAAGATTATTAAGAGAACTGTGTGACCAATCCAAACAGAACAATATTCGCATTATAGGGGTACCAGAAGAAGAAGAGAGAGAAAAGGGGACAGAAAATGTCTTTGAAGAAATGATTGATGAAAACTTGCCCAACCTGGGGAAGGAAATAGTCTCTCAGGCCATGGAAGCCCACAGATCTCCCAACACAAGGAACCCAAGGAGGACAACACTAAGACATATAATAATTAAAATGGCAAAGATCAAGGAAAAGAACAGAGTATTAAAAGCAGACAGAGAGATCACAGGAAGATGGCAGTGTGAGTAGTTCAGTGGAAATCTCCTCCCCAAAACATATATTTATGAAAATACAATAAATACAACTATTCATAAAAGAGACACCAGTGGATGCAGTACAACAGCCAGGATACATCTACATCTGCAAGAACTCAACATCACATGAAGGGGGTAAGATACAAGCTGCGGCTAGGCAGGACCCAAATGCTCTCCCACCCCAGAACCCGGGAGGAAGAAAGGAGTTGGAACAGGGAGGTAGTGAAAGCCCAGGACTGCTAAACAACCAGCTCTAAAAATCCGCATCCGGAGCACAGACACAAGGTGCATGGGGTGCTGGATATTAGAGAAACAGAAAAGCAAAACCTGTGGGCAGGCCCCCACAACCGGCGCCCCTGAGACAAAAGAAAAGCTAGTGCTTTCTGCAAGTCTTAAAGAGACAGGGACCCCACAGCTGGACAAAGTGGTCCCAGCACACTGAGTCAGCAGCTGGGAAATTCCAGGGAACTTTAGGCACCCTAAACCACAGGGAGGCAGCGCAGCTCTGAAGCCCCTCATGGCACTAAGCAGCTTACCAGTCGTTCCTCCAACTGGCGTGGACCACAACACACTGGCCAAGTAGTGGGAGAGTGGCAGTGCGTGCCGGGGGCGGTGGCACCGGAAGGGAACAGGAGCAGATCGCATGCACTGGTGGTGCCAGAGGGGAATGGGAGAGACTCGTG